AATCAAGTTTTCCCTCTTCATGTCGTGTCTGCAATCGAATGTGTTAAAATACGTGTGTGCAACTTTTATTAGACATTTGGGAAGAGCTCAGCATCATAGTTGGTGTGTGTATTAGTGTTTGCTTCGTCAAATAATGTAATTGACACCAAGAAATGAGCAAATGCTCACAATTGAGGAAGAAAAAGCCACAGTAAAGGTAATTCCATAAAGTTCTATAAACATTTGTAGTACAAGCAAAGAGATTACAAAATGAATGCACAACCAGCCACTTAATTAAAAAACTTTGTTCTGTGAAAAAAACATAGCTCTGCAAGTTACTACCATCTTCACCACCACCGTCATCGTTACCATACACTGTCCTTGTGTTCCGGCCTGTGAGTGAACTCAAAATCTATATGCACAAAAGCCCATTCGACTTCTGGGAGTTGCTCGAACTTCTCTTGGAGTGTCTCGCCAATGTTATGTGCTTTGTTCAAAAGCAAGTCTTCTGGCAAGACTATGTCAACCTCCACAAAGTAATGAGAGCCAAATGTGTACGCCCTCACTGTGTCAATGTGCTTGATCTCTTCGTGGTGGTTCCATATCAAGTATGTCAACTTCGCTAAAAATTCGGGTGGGGCTGTTCGTCCAATTAGCGCACATACATTCTCCAAGACTGTCTTTGCCCATGTATTGATCGTGTATACTGCTATCTGCATAATGTGTTCGAGAATGAAGTTAAAATTAATGAATAAACAAAGTACAGTAGGTCAGCGGAAGCGAAAATGGTAAATGAAGAACTTACTATAATAGCACCAGTAGGATCAATCCACCAGAAGAACCGAACAGCTAGGACTGCTGCTGCTAAACCAACTGAATTAGTAATGACATCGAAAAAATGGTCTTGTGCATATGCCCGTACAATTTCATTTTTAAATCTACGACAGTAGACCATGAGCACAAACTTCACCACTGTGACTGAGACCATGATGCCGATCATCCAATTCTCCTGCATACTATTCATTTTTTCCGGTGGTGACTGCAACAAAATGATACAAAGGATACAGCAACAACATTAATTACAAAACATGCTAAATTAAGCTCTACACAATAACCAAAATTTTACAACAAATAGTTGCATATAGGACCATGAACTCCGTTCATTTGATGAAGAAAAACGACCCAGTGATGTCAAAATAGACCTCTGTTGTTTCTGATTTATGAACTACAGTTTTAACAGAGTCTGAAACCTGGCCAGATTCCTTCCTAGTCCAACTTTAAAGAGGGAGTGTGAAGAAAAATATAAAAAAGGTGTCACCTACCTTTGACGCGAGTTGTCGACCAGACTCGAGCAATATTTGCAGTCCAAGAGTAGCCATAACAGATGCAAAGACAATGATACCCTGCATGATCAACCACAATTGAAGATTTACACCAAAAAAGAGAAAAAAAGAACAGAACAAATCAAGAACACAGCAAATATGCAGCTCCAATCCATCCAATTGTTGTAGAAACAAAGACCCTACTATTTTCAGAATTGTCATGGTTACCAAGTTTGACATCTTACCACTGGCTGCATACGCTTCTTCCCAATAGGATAGCGAAACTGGTTGGGATTTTTCATGGCATTAGCAGTGAACCACAAAATAAAGCCGGATAAGAGATCCAAGAGGGAATCCAAGGTAGAGGCGATAACTGACAATGATCTGCTCATAATTGAAGCATAAACTTTTGCAGCAAAAAGCACCAAATTAACTACGTTTGATACATGAACTGCCATCCGCTCGCTCTTCGCTAGCTGCTTCATTTGATCCTGAGAAGAAATGCATTCAGAATTCAAAACACAGAAGTTTAATTGAGAGACAATGACAGCTCCTTAACCAGGTTCATGCGTGTAATTATGCGATGTACCCTCTTCCAAAAAATTAACTAAGAATGCATTTTGTTTGACAAACCTGAAATATAGAAAATATTAATACCACTCTGATAGCCAAAACTCAAATAAAAGAGAGGGGATAATATAAAATTTGTACCAACCTCTGTAAGACCTGGTGAACAACCCTCAGCGGTCATGGTCTCCATCTCACTGAACCCTTCAAGAAGCCTTTCTTGTTGCTTATAATATTCTTCAACTTTGTATTTCTTCGCTGAGTTCAGAATCCCAACAAAGGTAAATTCATGAAGCCTATAAGATATTGAAGTGAGGAAAAATGCCGTAAAACCAAAAAAAAAGAATGAAACTGCCCTATGCTATCAATATTGATGAAACCATTACAGGTGAACAGTGAGGCACATGAAGCTAACAAAATAAATGAAGCAATTAGTATGGGAAAATTTGATGGGTTTTGACACCATTCCTCAGCAGTGATAGTTTCTCTTAGCACGCCAACAAAATTTCAAACAGCATTCATGTTCCAGTTCCAGATCGAACACACAATTATTCACGAAAAATATGTAACTTATTCAACAAACTATACAAAGGAACTCATCAGACAAGTTCAAGGTCAAGTGCTTGTGCAAACTTCGAAAAACAAATCCCAAGTATAAATCATGTCAAAATATCAAAATGCTTGCGAAATTTTCATCTTTCTATTCCAAAGACAGACCAATTTCAGGCCAGAATGAAAGATAGACCTCCTCAAGCACACAACAAATTTGAAATAATAACTCCGTCGGACAAACCAGTACAGATAAACACTGAACAACCCCGTTTTTCTTTTCTGCACAAAATCCAGATTCCCAACCATCCAAAAGTTTGATTTTTTCAAGTTTCAATTCTCTTAAACTTATGCTTTAATAAAGATAATTAACATAATTAACACCAAACCACCAAATAGCCAGTACACAAAGTGGTTTTTGCTAAGAACTCCCAAGATTCGGTCTTTACTTAATACAATCAAGATTACTAACACTGCATGCAATTCAAACACAAAGACAGAAACGGGTCATGAAGTAAACGACGAACAGAATCCTTACTGGGCGCGCAGAGGCGACCGAGAGCGAAACGACGGCGTCCACTGTCATCGTCGTCACCAGTAGTACTGCTCTGCTGGGGTAGCCGGAACTCCTTAACGTCGAGCCTCCACGAGCCGCCGTCTTCTGACACCAGAAGTGTGTCACTTCGGCCTCCAGAAGTGGCCGAACTAATCTCCATCCTTGGACGAAACGTACGTTTGTTTGTTTCGACGACTTGGATCAGAATTTATAAATTAAGATGTACCAATTTTCTTGTTTGGATAAAAATTTGGAATTTGGGACCTTCAATTCCCAATTCTTAAGTTCAAATTCTATGTAAATAGGTGTTATTTCTCAATTTCTATGATTGAGAGTTTAAAAATAACAAATTCCGTATTCAATTCCATTGTTCTTCTAGGTTAACCAAACAAGAAAATTTACAAATTCTAGAAAATAAAATCTTGTCATTTCAATTACCGTTATTTTAAAATTCCTTAGTAATCTTAAATTTTTTCATCCAAACATAGTATTAGTGTTGGTGTGAGCGAATGAGTGCGAGTTTGTTGTGTTACTATTTATACGTGACTATATGAGTTTGTTTAGAAATCCTTTTAAAATTAAAACAATAGTTCAAAAAGGTTTTAGGTTGCTTTTTCCTATTTATTTTTTTATTAAATTATAATAAAATTATCCCTTATTTATAGATTTTTTTTTCTCAGTTTTAGGATTACGTACAATAATTCAATATTGTTTCTTTTTTTTCCCCTCCTCCTGATTTGTTTCTCAATTTTTTCTATTACCTTTATCACATATTAACCGCGCTGACTAATTTATATTGTAGGTATTATATATATCAGCATATATACTAGTATGAATTTATAAATGTATGGAAGAATATTTTTTTTTTTTTTTTTTAAAGGAGGACAACTGGTAGCAAGCCACTCACAAGGGTATTTCAGCCTCTCATTGGTCACAAGTCTACCTTTCACACCAACAATGGGTTTCGAACACAAGACCTCGGGTTTTTAATTTGAAGAAAGCCTCGCAATCTGCCATACCATGGGGCCACTAGCTCGTGCTTAAGAATAATTTTTTTTGAACTATTTCATGAATGATAGGTAGGTTAACATTTTTGTATTTTCCAATTATATATATATATATATATATGTATGTATGTATGTATTAAAGAAAAATAAAAGAGTTATTCTATTATTATGGTTGAAATCAAATATTTGAGCTTAATTAGTCAAAACTCCCACAAACGGCAAATATGGAAATCCGCAACAAACCAAGAAGTATATTACCTTCAGTTGTAGTATCTTCATCACCAACTCGTAAACGAAAGCGGAATTGAATTCCAAATTTTGGTTTGGAAACTAGGGATTTTTCTTCCTTATTTCCAAGCATAAAGAGTATCTAGAGTCCCTAATTCATTGCAATTGTATAAACGTGCACTAGCATAACTTTTCCTTTTTCTTTTTCCTTTTTCATAAAATACGAGCCCTTATTCTAATAATACGAAAAATATTATATCTTGGGGTTACACATACGTATCATTAGCTTTGTACGTACTAAAATTAGAATAATAAAACGTACCATTAGCTTGGCACGCACCAAATAAAAAATTACATAACCTATCACAATTTTTCTTTAGTAACAAACTAAAATACTAATACGTACCCATATGATCTACATTGGATATGTGGTGCTGTTGAGTTGCGCATGCTGGTTATTATTATTATTAAAGGAATATGGAAGATTTGAAAATATTACAATTATTTAGGAGAGGAAAGAGTTTGGAATCGGAGACACACAAATGAAAACGGAACACCCTATCAATATGATTTCAGTTGTGCATGATTTTAGCTTTAGGTGATCATCTAATATCTATAAGACTGAGATCCCAAGTGAAAAGATGTCAAATAAGAGTGCAATTTTGAATGTTCAAATTGTGCTACCAAAGATCAATCATATTGAACGTTTGAATGTTCATCTTAACTAAAGATCAATCAATTGCCTTAGTCATAATTAAGATTTAATTTGATGCAAGCATTATGTTAAACAAAAAATCTAAATGGGAAAATAAAATTTATAGACTAATCAATACAAATTGTGCTACCAAGAAATGACCACGTCAGGAGGAAAAATTTCTCGGTTGATACTAATTTGGAAATAAACTATTCTCAATCAGCCACAATATGCACTAACAGTGCAAAGTTTTGAGATCCACTAAATGATACAGCGTTGGTTTATAACCATATAGTTTTTCGTCTCAAACATTAGGAGTGAGAGCGTTTCGGCCAGAACATGTACCAGATGCAAGGCCAGAAGTCCACTCCACAATTCAGTGATGTTCATCAAGTGATCCTCTTAAACGAGCAGAACTGCATTAACACACCCGTCGTTCTCTGGATTATTTGTCACCTGAGCATACTTCCCTGCGTCAACCATAAAGAACAGATAAATGCAGCAACATAAGTCAGAATCTAAACCATCCAACTTTAAAAGAGTGTGATGGCAAAGCTAAATGAGATGGCATCAGCTAAAACGCCAACCGGAACTCACCCCATACAACTTTCCCGGCAGGTGTGACTAGACCTAGTTCACTGACATTCACCTGATATCCACAAAACAATTAGATAGCGCAAAACACCAAGGGGATTGGCATTATAAATGGTCATAAATCATCACATAACCAAATACGTACCTCAATGATGGTTCCCTTGGTCAAGACACCAAGAGATGTATACATTTGACCGTTAGGATTCTTCTTCACACCAATGATCTCAAGGTTAAAAGTGGCTTTAAGTTCAGGATGTGTCACATGAGATTTGGTGAATCGCAACCCACTGGGACGGATAAATCGCTCATACTTGGGAGGTTTTCTTGTGAAACCAGGTCCCACAAATGTGGCTTTTGTGACCATCCTCTTCCATTGCTTGGCTACAATAAAGAATTGAGTAAATAAGCAACCAGGGACTAAGTAATACATTCACATGAAAATACTGGCATCAGTTTCAATTATCCTCAATGTCCCATTATACAAGCTTTAGCAAGAACACATCAGAATCAAGAAATCTTTTTCGGACAGAAATCCAAATTATAAATGAAAAATTTAGAGAACAAATCAACCAACAGAACACTTCGACTGCTATGGCAATAGAGAGGGAGAATTTGTAGATTACTTACTTTTGCGTTTCCCAGATCTAAGAATTTTGAACATCTCATCTTCAGCCACAGGCCTTACCTAGAGAGGATAAAAAACAGTCCAAAAGTTATATTAGTGATTAGCATACAACAAAAACTGATTCACACAGAAAAATGGAGACAACAAGAAGAGCGTGGCATATGCTTTTACCTTAGGCAGAGGGACTTCCCATTTCCCAGCTTTCTCCTTCCGCTTTTGCTTAATAGTGTTGTTCAAAATCTATTTCCAGCATAACCTCAGATAAGAAACATGAACAAAGAACTTCCTTTAAAAAATTATTATTATTAATAACTGGAAATCCCATACTTTCGCACGTGTTGTGGTGTCACGATCCAGCAGATATGCTGGAATAGAACCTTCATGAACATCATCATCCACCTTGCGCCTAGTCGATGACTCCTCATGCATAATCAACCTGTGGGCATTCACAAAACAAAATTTTTATTTTACGTATATATATAAATTGTCAGTAGCATGAACACACAGAAAATGCAATGAAGTATCGACATAAAGACAAACTACCACTAATAGCAACTAAACAATATAAAAAAGCGCAAATAAGTAGAGTGCAGCCTATGCAATTTAAATATGATTGTAACTATGTCTATGTGTATATATAACACCAAATTGATAGTCATGACGAGTGCCATATGAAACTAACTGTTAAAACGCATCAAATGAATGTAGTTTAGGTGCCAAGAGGTACGTAGTAACAGTCTATTCTACAGGGAAAAGGACAATCATATTAATGCATCTGAATATGATTGGCTAGATGAAAAGCTATTACATAATACGTACAGTCTATTCTACAGGGAAAAGGACAATCATATTAATGCATCTGAATATGATTGGCTAGATGAAAAGCTATTACATAATAAGATATCATTGGTAAGAAACCTAATCCATAGAACACAACAATTAATCAGATTAAATGCCAGGTAAGAGAACTCACGTTTTCTTCATGAGAGCCTTTTCAGCATAGCGCTTCTTAGCGAACATCTTACCCTTGATACCCAGAGCCTGTTCCAATGCAAACATTCCAAAGAAACAAAATAAGCTTAACATTCCAATTTGATTTTCACTTTCCAAGAAAAATAGAAGAAAAGGATTGGAATAAACCTTCTGAGCAGTTTCAGAACGCTTATGAACGAGACGAGCCTCCTTCTTGCGCTTTCGCTCGAAGTGGTCAGGACGGTACCCATACCGCTTCCTGTGGAGGTCTATGTAATCTCCCTGCGGCTGAATTTCACAAAAAACATTGACATACAATATTAAATGCGTCCTAAACATTATGAAAGCTTGAATTTCACAAAGATGAAGGGCATACAATATTAAATGCATCCTAACCAATAAGATAGCTTAAGGAGAAAAAAAAAAAAAAAAAAAAAGCAAAGCGAGATGAAGAACAAACCATAGCTACTCAGAATTTGTCGCTTTCGGTTTGTTGTCAGAAACTGTCACACAGAGAGAAAAACTGTCATACAGAGAACGAATCTATAAAAACATAATCACAAAAATAAATTTAATTGAAACTAAAATGGATAACTATCAGGGAAAAAAAAATGAATAACCATTTAACGGTAACAATGAGAATTTTCCTTGACCTGGCTTACTTCCTATCGTGTGATTTCATCCGATAACAACAATGTTCAGAACAAAATTTCAGTCATTTAAATTCTCAAACTTGTTGAGGGCGAGAAAGACAAGAGGAAGGATAGGCTGAGAGGAGGAGGTGCGGCTGTGAGAGAGCTGATGAGGAGGAAGAGAGTTTGAGAGGGGATCTGTGAGTTATCCAAGGCTAGGGTTTCTAACGTGTGGGTTAAATGTTAAGATTAAGCAGCTCTAGCCCCGGATCCCTTATCATAAATAGCATCCTTTTTTTGCAATAATTGCATAGCATACCCTAAAAACTCATTACCATATGCCCTGTATCACCCTTTTTTCTCTTTATTATAGAAACGTAAATCAGAGAGCTTCTCCAACTCCCTCACCGTCCTTCGTCTCACATGAACCCTAGCCCCAAAATATACAGAGTAAATTCAAAAAGTTCAATCTACATAACTAATTTAGCCCGACTTTTTTGTATCGAATGTAAAAAATGGTAGTCGTGCAGCTTGTGCTTATATAATCATTCCCTATTCACAGAATTCCAGTAACATGCTTAACGATACGACGGATAAATTACAGCTCCAAAACATCAAATAAATCACAAATATCAAGACTCGAGCTTTACTTCACCCTCAAAACTGAAATTTTATCTTCCACATAAATTAGAAAATCAAATTTACTCTTTCATTTCACCCATGCTTAACCAGAATACGCAATCACATACTCAAAAAATTTAACCCCTTTTATTTCACTTCGTTCGCTTAATTCAAATTCAAATTCGCCCACCATAGCAGGCCTCCATAGCCACCAAGAAAATAGTTTAACAGTATATAAAAAATAAAATATAAATTCAAGAAAAAAATATTGAATTACAAACAGCCATCCATGTGCAAAGTTCGTACCTGTGAGTTTGAGGGAGCCCTAGGGCCTAGGAAGAAGACAGGCCGAGGAGCCGAAGAGCCGGCGATGTTGGAAAGAGAGAGAGGGAGGATGGAGGCGGTGAACTGAAAGGGAAGTGCTCGGGGGGTTTAGGGTATAGCTTATTAGAATAACCAATCAGAAGAAGCCACGTGTTTATTAAGAGAGAGAGAGAGAGAGAAAATTGGGAAAAGAAAAAGCCCAACGGCCCATAATCTCCATTATCCAGCCCATCTCACCCGCCCTAAACCCAGCTTAACCCCTTTCTTCTTCTCTTCTTCTCCAACCTTCACAGAGCATCACCAGGCATATACCCAGCTCACCCGCCGTAAACCCAGCTCACACTTCACAAAGCATCACCGGCTGCGCCACAAGCCACCGTCCACGCCCCTTCTCTTTTCCCTCCAATTCCGCGCTTGACCTGGGATTATTTCAGGTAATTTTTCTCTACACTCTATTTAAAATTTCAGGGTTTATCGATTAATTGAGTAGTTGTGCTATGATTTGCATCAGTTTGTAATTTTATTGACTTATTAGATTAATTCATGTTTGTTCTGATTAGAAAGCTTGATTTTTTACTGGTTAGCTTGAAGCTTGAAGCTTTAGCTCATCAGGTACCTTCGTGTTTTCGTTGAGTTAAGGTATATTCAGATTTGAGAGTGAAGAACGAACCCTAAATTGCTAAAGGAAATGGCTGGTACTCTGAAGGGTGATGGTACGGAAGAGTTTAAGGGTCTTAGAATCACATCACTGGACGATGATAGTGACCAAGAAGAAGAACAAAGGGAGCAAGATATTGCTATGGATGACGATGACGAAGAAGAAGAAGATGAAGAAGCAAGAAATTCGGTTATTTTGGGTTTTTTGAAAAAGCCCAAGAAAGCCCGGTCTCTTCTTCGTCATTTCTTTCCTTCCAAGGCTGGAGGGGTTCCTGTATGCTGTTGAACCCTGCAATTTCTATTTATATACAAGTCGGACTTTTCTGATGTTTTCTCTTTGTCATATAGGCTTGGCTGGATCCAGAAAATTTGCCATCGGGGAGATCGTGCTTTTGCGACATATGCGGCGAACCTTTGCAATTTGTGCTTCAGGTGAGGGATGATTGAATTTCATTTTATCTTTATTATGCCTTTTTCTAGTAATAAAAGTTGTGGTCTTTTGTGTTTGTTGGGTGAGTAGGTGTATGCGCCGGAGGAGAAGGAATCTGCTTTTCATCGAACATTGTTTGTTTTTATGTGTACATCAATGGTGTGTCTTCGTCGTGATCAACATGAACAATGGAAATGCCAGCGGGACAAGCCCTCTAGAAGGTATTGTTCTCCCTCTCATGTCTATGCTGAAGGATTTGTAGTTTGTGTTTCTGATTATGTGATGATTTTTATAGCGTGAAGGTTTTTCGCTGCCAATTACCCCGCGATAATCCTTTCTACTCAAGTGAGCCTCCAAAGAAGGATAGTACAGACGACCCTCTTAAGGCTGGAGGTAGCATATTGTTTCACTTGGCATTTAGTATTTACAGTTGCTAGCTTTTGCTTATTAGTTATTGCTAGATTTTTTAAGTATGTTCAACCTTGTTTTATGTAAATTTATGCTGATCCTTCAGTAATGCAGTTTGATGTTTTTTACATGTTCTGCCAATTTAAGGGACCTTTTGATGATCTTTGCCCTTTGATTGTTATAGCTGCACTCTGTAGTTGGTGTGGTACCTGGAAGGGGAGTAAACGCTGTACTGGTTGCAGAAAAGCACTTTATTGCTCAGAGAAACATTGGGTAATTGGATTTTTTGGGTTTCTGCAGCATCTTTTATCCCCTGCCAAATAGCAACAGCCATCCCTAAAGTGTACCCAATTTTTTTCTGTTGTTTGTAGGTCAAGCATTCTCGGTCTGGTCATGAACATGATTGTCAACGATTGAGGATTCAGCTGGGCGACAGTAGCTCTGCTAACAGTGAATCCACTTCTACTGTAATTCTAAAAGGCAAGTACATAGTTTAATTTTCTTGGGAGGCTTTTTGGGTGGGTCCTTTCAAGATCTTAATAAACTTCTTTTTTTTTTCATTTGTGAACAGTTGCAAGCAATCATTTATGGCCAGAATACAAAATTATACAGGAGCCTGAAAGTTCGTATGACACAGAAATGCCTGATGATAATGTGGGCACTAATTCTTTGATCTCTAGTAACCGGATGGATGACGGGCTAATGTCGATAGCAGACAATTTTACGGTATTAATTGTTCTCTCATAATCAACGTTTATATTGTCCTTCTATTGATAGAAATGGTAGTTGTGATCTGTACTCTTCTTCCCCCATTGTTTTGCTCTGATAGGAGAAAACTAGTTTTTAGCTACTTAAACTCTTACATGTTTATACCTCTGTAAAAGGGTGATGGTGACAGAAAGAGCTGGGCTTCGTTCCATGTGCGCATAGCCCTCGCCCCTGAACAAATACTAAGGTGATTTATATTTTCAATAAATCGTGCAAAGTATGGATGTGATTTGATGCTGAATGTCATGTTAAAGTTTTTGGAACTTGTTGCATTCCTTCGCTTTCATTGATCATAACCATTATTTCCTCTGCCCTATTTTACTTTACAATTAATTGATCAGTTTCAATTTTTTTCCCCAAATAACAGGTACTGTAGGAGTCCAGGTGCTACACCCTTATGGCCGGTGTCAAGCGGCCGGCCATCCACGGCTGACATTCCTAAATGCAGTTACTGTAGTGGCCCAATGTGTTTTGAATTTCAGGTACCAGATTTAACAATTGTTCGTTTTGATTGAAGCCCGATTCCAAGTTTTTGCATTTCAGTTTCATTTACTACGACGATTGCCCTTATCTTTCTAGCAAAATTTGTTAACCTTGTGCATTATTGTTGGCTTCAGATTATGCCTCAGTTGCTATTTTACTTTAACGTGAAGAATGACGTGGACTCGCTTGATTGGGCTACGATCGCTGTGTATACATGTGAAGCCTCCTGTGATGCAAGCGTGGTTTACAAAGAAGAATTCGCTTGGGTTCAACTTTCTTAGCCATTTGCTCTTTTGCCTGATGCTTTGTACCCTTTAGATATGAGATCAAGTCCTTGCTAATATTAGTCTTGAATCAAGTTGTTTAGTTTTCTTATTTATCGGAACGATAAGATTTTGATTGTCAGAAGCTTTCCCATTTTTCTTATTGGAATGATGGGATCTTGATCATGGTGTTCAAACCCTGTCAACAAGGACGGGCTGTCACTAGTCGCTGGTCGCTGGTTTTTCAAGTTTTCAGTTTTAATAGTTTGAGAAGTGGAAGAGATATAAGGACGACCTTATTACCCTTATTTTTAGGTTTTCACCCCTAAGTGAGAGGTCATAGATTTGATTATTCTAAATGGCGAGTTGCAATACCGAATTAAACAGCCTTGTGGTCCCTAAACAGAATCATTCACTACAAATTCTCTCTCTCTCTCTCTCTCTCTCTCTCTCTCTCTCTCTCTCTCTCTCTCTCTTATTAGTGTACAAAATTAGGTGATGTTCAATGTCCTCAAAATAAAGCTAGGTGATGCTGGAAATAGCAAACATTGTAGGACCAACTTCCCAAACACTAGGAGTTGTTTTCCTGGCAACCATTTGGCCTCGTAAATATTCGGTCTCCACTTTACTAGGGGATGTACTGTATTCAAATCTCATAAACGACAAAGTGTCCGAACAGATTGTTGTTTACATATTTCAATAAGCTTTAACATTTGGAATTTATATCCCATCATATAGGGTTTCTATGTTCAATTCCTCCGAAACATTGGAATTGATTCTTTATCAAAATTAAAATTAAATAGTTTTAAAAAAAATTAAAAAATAAAAATAAATATTGTTTAAAACCTTAAACAACCCTTGTACAATAATTATAGCTCCAAATTAAGAACACAACTTCTATTCCACTCTTCCTATCTGATTTCATTGGTCAAGACGGTGCTAACTTTGCATTGTTGTGCTCAGGCCTGTGAGTAGTCTCACATGAACGAAAGCTCGTTCCACCTCAGGAACGTTTTCGATCTTTTCCTGAAGCGTCTCTCCGATGTTATGTGCGTGGCTGAGAGACATGTCTCCGGGCAAGACAATGTCAGCCTCCACAAAATAGTTGCAGCCAAAAGTGTATGCTCTCACCGTGTCAATGTGCTTGATCTCCTTGTCATCGTTCCATATCAGGTATGTCAATTTTGCCAAGTACTCTGCTGGTAGTTACCACACATTTTCCATCACTGTTTTCGCCCAATTCCCCATGGTGTACAAAGCAATCTGCATCCCATTGTGTTTCAAAATTCAGTTGCGTTCGTTGCCTTAAAATAGTTTAGGGTTAAGTAGTTTTTTATCTTTGTGTTTTGGTCGGATTTTCAATTTCGGTCCATCTGTTTTCATTTCGGTCAATTTGGCCTCTATGATTCAATTAGTAAACTATTTTGGCCTTTTCCGTCTGGTTTGACCGTTTGGGCGTTAATGTGCGCACGTTAAACGCATAAAGGCTCACACATCAAAATAGACGGAAAAGGCCACCGCCCACATGTTTACAACAGGATCAAGAACTAGGTCTTGCAGATACGTGGCATAATTAACAAAATTAGGTGTTCATTAGTTAAGAAGCTGAAGTACTAACAATGATAGCTCCAACAGGATCAAGCCACCAGTAAAACCTGATTGCTAAAACTGCAGCTGCAAGACCAATTCCATTAGTGATGACATCAAACAGATGATCTTGAGCGTAAGCTCGAACAATTTCGTTCTTGAATCTACGACAATACACCACCAACACAAACTTCACAACTGTTGCAGACACTATTATCCCTATCATCCATTTTTCTTTCACTGGATCCATTTCAGGTTGAGTCTGCATGAAAAAAAAAATACATATATTATATAATCACCCTATCGACAAATGTGATGCTAAAAACTTCATTCCATATCTTGCGCTCAAGATTTCTTGCGTTACAATCAACTAGTGGACTCTTGAATACCTTCATGAGAAGTTGCCGGCCAGATTCGAACAATATTTGAGGTCCAGGAGTTGCCATTACAGATGCAAAAACAATAATTCCCTGCAATGCAATTGAGATTTAGCGCATGAAGTAAAGTTAGAACTAATTGTCCAAAAAATTAGGTTTCATA